CTCCTGTCTTGCTAGCTGTTTTTTTATCATTTCTTGCACTTACGCTCAGGTGTGGGTGAGGTAAAGGGGTGAGTGGAGGCTAATGAGTATCCAATGAGGGACATTAATGTCTCACTTCCTGTTTCATATGTGGAGCTCGATGATTGATGAGTCTGGAATAATGTGACATCATCGTGACAGTGGAAGAGCCGTCAGCCAATCAGAGCAGAGCAGCTAACCCTAACCCATGTGTAACAGTCAGTCCATCTGCTTGGCTCACCCACAGTGACCTTAACCTCCATTTTCCTCAGACAGGCGAAGACATGTGGACGTCTCGCGACTATTGTTGCTCAAATGTCCCAGGGTGATCCTTAACTCTGTCTCCTCCTTGTCCTCCTCGTTTGTCTGGACCTCTTCCTCCTCCTCCTCCTCCTCCTGCTGCTGCTGACCCACAAACAGACCACAGCTGCTCAGAAACAAAACAGCCAAAGAACTCACGCCGGCGCTTCATGACCCTGGTACTGTTGAAGGAAAAGACGGAACAATTAGAACAAACCAAGAGAAAAGTATGAATATCTGTTTATTTACAGTGAAACAAACCCAGACCTGAAGACCACCAGGGTTAAAACATTTTTATTTTTAATTTCTGTTTCTGAAATCTGAATTTTGTGACTTTTAAAATATCGGTCCCCAGAAAAAAAGTTTGGGAAACACTGGCCTAAGTGACGTTCAGGTGTTCAAACAGAACGTGGGAAAACTGCGCATTTTGAAATTCTGTTTCTTAGAGCTGATGGTCAAACACGACTCTGCAGTTTTAAATAAATGATGTTTTCTGTAAATACACACCAAAAAAACGTTTAAACCCTGACTCCGACGGTTCCCATAAGCAACAGACACACATGTGATAAAGTACCAGAAGAAGGTGAAGAAAGCACTGCGTGAACTCAGAACTTTTTAACAGCTGCTTTTAACCGAGCTGACCTGTTGACCCACAATGCTTTGCTGTGAGGGCAATGATTACTCAGACAGTAGAGGTCAGCTAATCACAGGTGAGACACGTGGGCGAGACAGAAGCAGGTCAGATTTATCTCTGTGTGCAGAAGGTCTGAGTGTGATAGAGCACGCACACACACACACACACACACACATACACACACACACACACACACACACACACACACACAGTCGGCCGGTCCTTGTTGACTTTAGTTAATGATTCTTAGAATTCCTGCTCCGTTCTGATTTCTTTTTCTCGACTCAGCTCTCACATGATTCAGCAACTTCAGGAAAGTCGACGCAGAAAAATCCTGCAGTGACATCACAGTGACCTCACCACGGTCAACGTGTGATGTCACAGTGACCTCACTGGTTACACTTTCTTCCTCCTTTTCATCATTTGACTCCTCTACTCCTCTCCATCTTCTTCCAGATCATTCTTTTTAATTGTCTGCCCTTCTTCTCTACTTACTTTGCTCACCCATCTTCTCCTCCCCCAACATCCTCCTTCTTTCTCATTTGTTCTTGTTTGTCCTCCTTCCTCCCCCTCCTCACATTTGTCTTTGTCCTCCCTTTTCCATCACTCTACTCCATTCTCTCCATCACCTCCTTTTTCCAGTTCCTCTTATTCATATCGTTCTCCTCCTCTTTCCTCACCCAGTTCCACTGCCTCCCCCTTCCTCCCTCCTCTGTATGTTCTTCCTCTGTTTTCTCCTGCTACACTTCATTCCTTCTTCTCCTTTTTCATCCCCTACTTCCTCTTTTTCCTGCTCTAATTCCCTTTTCATTTCCACTTTCTACTGGTGTATTTTTTCCTCCTCCTCCTCTGCGTCTTTGTCCTCCTATTTCTCGGTTCCTCCCCATGTCATCACCTCCTTCTTCTTCTCCATCACTCTCCAGACACGTCTCCACCGTTAGCCCTGCTCCTCTGCTCCTGCTCCTTCCCCGCTCCTCCTTGCTCCTCACCAACATTCCCTCCTGCTGACTCACGCTGGTGTTGTGAACATCTATCTTGTTTACGACTTGTGAAAGCTGGAATAAATCAGCATCGTTGCCAGTGACGTTTCTTTCGCTCTAATTCATCCTGACAGTCGTTCCCTGAACCTGTCAATCATTCGCCGCTGATTGTTCGCAGACATCTGGAGGAGTCACAGCTGCACCTCCTCCTCCTCCTCCTCTTCCAGGTCCATCATTTTTGCCCGTCCTCAGCTGATCTTTTCTCCTTCTCAGCCTCGGGTTGACGTTACACCCACGAGTTAGTGAGTTTTGACGTGGACGGAGAGGACGCCGTGTCTCTGACGACAGAGACAAGTGAAGACTTCACTGTTACGTCCCTGATCTAGAAGTGAGCCTCCATTCGGGGCAGTGGTGGTTTGGTGGTTAAGGAAGTGGACTTTGGTCCGGAAGGTTTCAGGTTCGAGTCCACCAGCTGCCAAGCCACCACTGAGGTGATATGAATATGGCACCATCCCCACACACTGCTCCCCGGGTGCTTATGCTGCCCCCTGCTGACTGTGGTGAGGGGTTAAATGCAGAGGTCACATTTGGTTGTGTTCAGTGGTGAGCTGTGTCACAATGACAAGGAGTTCACTTTGACTTCAGCTCCATCCAGGTCTACACCATCACACTGACATGGGGAGAGGAGGGCAGAGGTCAACAGGGCAGAGGTCAACAGGCAAAGCCTTGAACTCATGACAGTATATTCTACTACTACAGTACATGAGAGGACAGAGGGAATACTTATAAGTACCATGATACATTTTCACAATGAAGGTATAGAGTTTTAAAAAACAAAGGCGACGCGGACGGACGGACGGTTGGATGGATGGATGGATGGATGGATGGATGGATGGACGGATGGAGGCTACATAGATGGACTGATACATAAACAGATTCTTCAACCTTCAACCATAGAAGTGAACGTACAGCAGCGGCAGCAGCGACATCGACGTGACGAGTCTAAACAATCGTTTGTGATTAATTGTTATTTATCAGCTGACGCTGAAGAGACACCATGTTCACAGAGAGAGGAACTCTCCAGCTCCAGTTCTCCGTTCCTTCTCGTTCTGCAGAACAGTGTGTGCGTGTGCATATGCGTGCGTGTGTGCGCTCTTTAACATGCAGCATTAGAAGCAGAACTTTTTCCAGATGTGTGTGTGTGTGTGTGTGTGCTGGAGAAATAGAACATGTTTTCCAGATGTGTGTGTGTGAAGCTTCTGCCAGATTCTCTGAGGAGGTAGATTTTAACAACGAGGTCATCGCTCATTTTTATGTGTTTTATGCTCACTTTATTTCACACACTCATACACACACACATATAAATACACACACACACACATTAATATTCAGCTCGCTCTCCTGGACAGAAACACCTTCACACGCTCTCCAGCCTGACCTCCCCTCCCACAGGTACCAGAGGGGGAGCTGTTGTTATTGTCACATGATGCCAGCAACCAATCAAATCCAGCGGTCAGGGATTTCCTGCTCCAGTAAGCAGCTTACAGTCATCAATTAGGCAAAAAATAGCACAAAGTTTATTTAACGTCAGCTGCCTCAGTTCCCTAATTTGTGAGACTGATACCTCATGCATCAGCCCTGTAGGTGGCAGTAATACATCTAAAATGCATTTTCTAGCTGTAAAAAATATGGAAATGGTTGGACCACTGATGGATGAAAAGACACCAGCGCTAACGTTAGCTACAACAGTCCTGGGACAGACACCAGGGCTAACGTTAGCCACAACAGTCCTGGTACAGACACCAGGGCTAACGGTAGCTCCAACAGTCCCTGTACAGAGACCAGCGCTAACGTTAGCTACAACAGTCCACAGTCACAGCCTGCCCACAATAGAGCAGTTTGGAAGCGAAAACTTTAAAAACGTACTGCAAATTTCCTCTTTACTTTATAACACAACAACATAGTAATGCACTTTCAGTGACATAAAATAACCACTAGAGGCAACAGTTGACCAACTGCTCCAGTGTTCCTTCCCTCAACTCCTTACTTATCTATGGACTTTGGTGTGAGAACTTGAATGTGGAAAAGTTATAAAAAAAAACCAACAACATGAAAAGTGTCAAACACGTCTGAAATGCTCTACTTTTTATTTTTTTTAGAATCAGTTATCAAAAAGCCAAGTGAGAAACACACACATTAACTTCCATGCTGTTAAGAATAAAAACGAGGATAAACAAAACACGTGTGTTACCCCCTCCCCTTCCCTGCACCCCCATCAGAAATCCTGAGAAAAAGGTGAGCACAGATCAGAACAGTCAAGAAGTGATGAGAAAAATCCTGACGACATTTAGAAAATGTTTGGAAAAATATGAAGAGGAGATCTGGGAAAACGTCAAACGTCAAAGAGTATTTTCATCAATGTTGGAAAATAGGGAGATGACAAAAGGGGAGAGAGAACGTTGAACTAGAATAGAGGGAAGACCAAGAGGAGGTTGATGAACACGGAGAACATGGAACGTTAAAAAAGGGTCATGAAGAACGATGGATTGAACTGGAATATGGGAAAACGTCAGGAATGCTGAGGGAACAACAACGGACTGCGAGGGGAAGACCAGAATATGAAGGTGAAGACAAAATAAACGCTGTGGTTAGGGCAGCAGGATCAGACATGGCGGCTGCGAAAAGTTTGGAGACAAATCCTGTTACATGTTCCACACCCACGCTAAGCTTCATAATTATAACGTCTGTTGACAACGGGCCTGGGCCACGCCCACTCGTGACAGGCGGGCAGAGGTGGAGGCTTGTCCGGATCCGTCCGCTGCTCATTAGCAGACGCTAACGATCCGGCCCCAGTTTAAACCTGGATTCAATTAAATCTGCGGCTGGAGGTGTCTGACGCCGCCCACGACCTCAAACGCTAAACACACACACAGACACAAACACACACTCCTGTCTGGGGCAGGAGCTCTTCCCACCATTTCAGGTCACAGCCTGAGTTTTGAGTCATCGACGGATGATGTTGACGCAGAGACACGAGGACATTGAAAACAAAAAAAACCCCACTGATCAGGAACAATCAATAACAATAAGTCTTTGTTTACAAAGTTTCACAGCTGATCGTCAACACGTCCTCATCAGTCCATTCACTGGTGACAAATTAGTGGAAGGATGTGGCCTTGAAAAACCTGGAATTTCAAGGCTATTTATAAACTCAGCTGAATGACAGCATGCGTGTGTGTGTGTGTTTAGGTACGACATGCCTGTTAAAGTAACATTCCACCGGTTTGTTCTAAGTATGAAGATGAGAGTGGAAGTGATGTTAAATAAAGTTTTAATGACAACGTCACTTGTCAATCATTTCGACAGGTAGCTGTTGCACAGGAAGTCACATCCGACTGCTGGTCCGCCGACGTCTCGGAGTTCACAGAGTTCACGTCTGCTCACAGACAAACAGATCCATCACTACATGGTCTGTTTTCAAAATTCTACAAAAGTCCGTTTAGTGAGAATTACCAGAGGCCAATAAATTATTAAGAATATTCACCCATTAGTTTGCTTTTTTGAATAGTTAAAAAAAATCCCAATCGTCTTTTTTTTTCAGTTCTGGGAAATAAAATCTGTTTCAGGTTTTCCAGCAGGGGGTGCCAAACATGAAAGACTTCATTATAAAACAAAGAGAAGTTGCAAAGAAGACAAGTTCGTGTTCCTAAAGTCTCTCCGCAATCGCCCTCATTGGCCATTGGTGGAGGCGTTATTGTTGGCAGGACTGGCGCCATCGACGCCGACCTGTGGCGGTGGGACGTTGTCGGCCAAGTTGTGGGCGTGTTCCAGGAACAGGTCTTTCAGCACACTTAGCTCCTTGCTCAGCAGCTTAATCTTGGCCTCTAGACGCTCGTTCTCCTCTTTCAGCTCATTGACCCGCTGCTGCGTGTCCATTGCCTTCTGCTTGCTGCGCATGCGACTCTTCTTCACCGCTAGGTTGTTGCGCTCACGGCGCTGGCGGTACTCATCGCTGTCTTTGTCTGCTGATGGCTTCTTCATCTTGCTGGGTGGAAGGGCCTTGCCACCTGCAGACGAGGGGTTGGCAGGAATGAGCTGTGGAACCTGCTGCAGAGACGATACGGAGGAGGAGACAGTAGAGGAGGAGGCGTGGCCTTGACTCTGGATTACGCTCACGCCTTTGTGGTCAGTTGTGGTGATTTTCGGCTGTGCCGGCCGGCTCATTTGGCTGTGTTGCCTTCAGGTGTAACTATCTGACCAGAGCAGTCTTGGGTCAAGAAAGTAAGGGATGTGGACAACAGAGCCGTGTGCTGGGCGGGACCTGGAGATACAGAGGACGGAAACATGACCAGGGTTAGATCAGTGTGGCTCCATCCTCTACCAGTTTACAACCGGTGACAGTGCACTCAGTGGTTATTAAAAACCGATACACTTCCTACTTTGGAAACTATTTTGTTTTCGTTTCTAAGTTGACATCTTTCAGGTCTATCTTCCTTCGTGCATTTTCACTCACAAGAATCATGTCAACGAATGTGTTGGGCAACCTTTGAAACACATCTACATGTTACGTGCACACAACTGTAAGAAACACTGATCCATTCTCTAATAAGATGTGTTGTGTAAAATGATCCAATTTGACTTAATGGGACTGAAAACTATAATATATTTATTGCATAAAATTATTCTTTGCTCATCAAAGCATGAAAGGCAGAATTACATACTCTTCTGCTATCTGTATCTGTTGTTACTGGTGTTTATGGAAAAAAAAAACAACAACAACAAAACAGCGACAGCCACACTGATCATGCTTTACTACAATTACTACACGTGGTTTATATGCTGAATGCAGCCTCGTGCACGCGCACACAAACGCACGCCTTTCAAAATTGTATTTTGACAGCACGGCTATGATTGGACGGCTCGTTGCGAGGCAGCAGCAGCGCAGAAGCAGTCAGCTGTGCGCAGAGAAAATGGCTCCGGGTGAAACTGTTGTTGCCTGCTGTTGCATCATCACGAGAGGGAGGGTGAGACAGAGAAAGCAGGGGAACTCCACACACACCTGAGCCTGCAAACGTGACCCCACATCGGGTCAACGACTTAACAACTACACGCTACACCCGTAGAACCCCGGACCAGCCTGTTAAGTCCAATACTGGCGACATTTGAACCAGTTTGAATTCAGGTGGCGAAAACGCAACGCTGACAAATAAATGAGAACCTGGACCATAATCCTAGTCAGAATCACAGCGATCTTCACAGCCTACATACAAACCAGACCCTGAACTCTACCAAGAATCTTTTTCGCGGTCGCCCCTCTCTTTTTTTTGGCTAACAGATTGATAGCTTCAAATGCTAACGCCGCTTCTAACCGTTTTCCGTTCAAATACCCCCATGTTTAACCGCTCCGAGGACATGTTACCTTAAGCGGACACCCGAGGAACTCGTCGCTTGTCCGGGGTTGACGTAGTCCAAAATTACTACAGGACTTTCGGTTCCGTGTTCGATCTCTGGTTCTGTTGTTTAGACACGGACACACGACAAGAAGATTGCGAAATCTCTTTTCCATGTACGGAAATGTCTGCGTTCAGCGAATAACAGGCGGCAGGGCCGTGACGGCGGGACGTGTAACCAATCATTTGCGAGCTTTTCCGAGAGTGATGCAATGCTGCCTGTGATTGACAGATGAACTGACCAATCACAGTGGGCTGTTGGTTTTGTTTATGTAACGTTTGATTCGGTGGAATGTGTGCATAACCAGAGTGACATCATCGATGAATTAAATGGTAAAAAAAAAGTAAAATAAAAAACAACAATAAAACATTAAATATAATCTTAATTCAGGAAAAGTTTACATCTTAAACGGGTTAAAAAATCGTATAAAATATGAAATTCATAGACACCAGGGCCTCGTTAAACAAACAAGGTTTTGTGACTTTTTTTATTATCCTGAAATGATTAAAATACTCAGTGCTTCTCCATTAATCATTTTTCCCTTATTTATAAATTATTCATCTGTAACCACACAAACACAGTTCCAGGGTTAAGTAAAATCTGACGTGTTTATCTGTCAGGTATTTTAGTGATAATTCTTTGTAAAATTGAACTTTACTGTGTCCTTTTTACAAGAGTAATATTTAGCCAAATTTTATGTAATAAAACTCTGACAGTTACTGCATGTCTGACTGTCCACCTCTGATCTTAGTTATACTAAGAAAACCAAACAAAAACTTGAAATACTTTTAACACCCTTTAAACATTTCTGACACTGATGGGTTTTTAGTTGCCTGAGTACAGGTGCGACATAAAACCAATGTTGTTTGAAATGAATTCATATAACTGATTTGTAAATTATCCATCCATCCATCCATCCATTTCCATCCGCTTATCCGTTACCGGGTCGCGGGGGCAGCAGTCACCACCAAAATCACACTGCACCGTACCAACCCCCAAACCTTCCTGCAGGTGGTGAGTCCACTGGAAGGGATTTGTAAATTAATTCACTGCAAAAACAAATGAGTCATTTTTGCCTGGATGCAAATTTTCAATACATTCCTTTAACAGTTGAGAATAAAAAACATAATTTACCTGTGTGCCAATTTTTGAAAATGTTAATATATATTTTTTGTCTGATTAATTATCATAAAAGGCTCGTAATGTACAGTATAAAAGCAACATATTATTATTTCACATTTTCATTTAAAGTTGCCTCCGGCGGTACATTTGTGTCAGAAAGACTTTATTCAGATTTTCTTCAGTGATAATAGAAAATGGCCACACGAGGCATCATTTAACCAGAAGTTCATCTGTCCCTGAATGAAACTAGTTTATTCTTTGCATGGAACATTGCATGAGAGAGAGAAAGATATAGAGGGGAGTTAATTCCCTGTTTGAAAATGCTAATTAGCACATGCAGTAACAATTATAAGTATAGTGTTGATTTTATTAGCTGCATTGTTCTCGAGTGGCTAACATTTGTATCCAGTCATATTTTTATGTCAACTTGTTTCTCACATGCGTGCTAACAGAATGGGGCTGACGCAGCCCAGTCAGCAGGGACTAAATATTTATGGCTTCATCCTGCTGTGATAAAAAACTTTCTTTTATTTTTAGTTCTTTTCATAAAGACCCAGAGGCGAGGTTTTACGAGGAGTTTTACTTTTGTAAATGACCAAAGGAGCAGAGCAGCAGCAGTTCTCAAATAGAATCCTTACTTTTCCCCCTGGACATATGTGGAGGACACTGGTTCGTGAAGCTTTCACACTGCATTCTCTCTCTGAATGTAGTATCTCCAGAGCTCAGACAGTACCACTAGAGCAGGAGTGTCAAACTCATTTATACTGGGGGGAGGGCACATCAGTAATAAAGTTCCTCTGGGAGAGCTGGTTGTAAATAAAGTCCATGACATATTAATAAATGTTTCTGTATTTCATTATTATTTATTCAAGCTACAAAAACTATCAATTTCTCTGTGTAATAAAAATCATTTTAATAGATCAGGTTCAGAAACTCAGCAGCATGGACTTCATTATAAGGCAATCAAATGCTCTTTAACCGCCCACGGGCCACACAAATTGACTTGGCGGGCCGCATTTGGCCTGCGGGCCTTGAGTTTGAGTTTTGAGAACTGCTGGTTTAGAGCATGAGTGATTCATAAGAACATAGTTTACGATTTCACAACGTTGCCAGGGAAAACCTTTGTGTTTATTACATTTGATCTTTTTGGTTCTGTTCAAATCCCGCATCGTTTCATCAAATCTCAGTTGGTTTTTAACACGAATGAATACATTTTAATATGTTTTAATATATTCTTGAAGACTTCACTTGATTTAATGTGTTATAATTAGTTTGGTCAGGTTGTAAACAGAGTTGTCAGAGGGTGTAATTATCACATTATTCTGATTTACTGTCAAATCCCGTGTGTGTGTATGTGTGTGTGTGTGTGTGTGTGTGTGACTGCGTGTGTGTGCCCGCCTCCTCCGCCCCACTATATAAGCTCACTTTTGAAAGTTCACACTTTTATTGAGCTGCAAGAATCACAGCTCTTTCATCCTCTCTCTCGCTCCTTCTCTCTCTCTCCGTGTGTTTGTGTCTGTGTCTCTCACCCTTATTCTTGGACCTCCGACTCTCTCCCTCTCTCTCGGCCCCGGTCTCTGTCCACCCTGGATTCCCGCAGCTCCTCGCCATGTGTGTCCGGCTTTAGATTGTCCATGGAGATGTCTAACCTGTACGAGGTTGCCCCCCGGCCTCTGCCCCACAGTCAGCAGCCTCCCTCTGGCTACAGAGACGCAGCTGAGCTCGGTGGTGACATCGGAGACAACGAGACCTCCATCGACCTGAGTGCGTACATCGACCCGGCGTCCTTTAACGACGACTTCTTGGCGGATTTGTTTCACCACAACTCCCGGCAGGAGAAGCTGAAGCTCATGAGCGGAGACTTTGACCCGGTCCAGTGCGGCGGTGGCGGGGGTCCTGGCCCGCACCAACACCACCAGCAGCACCAGCAGCAGCACCAGCAGCAGCACCAGCAACACCAACAGCACCTAATGTGCGGCTACATGGACTCCAAACTGGAGCCGCTGTACGAGCACAGTCCGCAGCGCCTGCGCCCTGTGGCCATTAAGCAGGAGCCGCGGGACGAAGAGGACCTGGGAGCGGGAATGCCACCGTCCTACCTGCACCACCCGCCACACTACTCCCAGCAGCCGCAGCTGCCGCACCTCCAGTACCAGATTGCGCACTGCGCGCAAACCACCATGCACCTGCAGTCCGGTCACCCGACTCCTCCGCCGACCCCGGTGCCCAGTCCGCACCAGCACCAGCACCAACACCAGCATCCGCACCAACTCCCTCAGCAGGGGGGGCTGAAGCTGCTGGAGTCGCGCGGCGGAGGGAAATCCAAGAAGCACGTCGACAAAAGCAGCGTCGAGTACCGACTGAGACGAGAGCGCAACAACGTGGCCGTGCGTAAAAGCCGAGACAAGGCCAAGCTGCGCAACCTGGAGACCCAACAGAAGGTGGTGGAGCTGAGCACAGACAACGACAAGCTGAGGAGGAGAGTGGAGCAGCTGAGCCGAGAACTGGACACGCTGCGTGGGATCTTCAGACAGATCCAGCCCGAAGACTCCTACAAACACATCAGCAGCTGAGGGACCGGGTCGGACCAGGATCCTGGACATTGACTGAAACTGGATCTGGACCAATGCTGGATCAGATATTAAAGCCGTCTCTTGCCTGTGCCTGTTTTTTTTCTTTTCTGGCAGATGATTGGAGCTGAGACGGACTGAGGCAAAAACTGTAGTTTTCTAAGGACCAGGAAAATCACCAGGAAAAAGCAGAAAACTTTGAAAACTGACCTTGAGGCAGAGGAAAGTTCTAATGAGATCACGTGATGGTCTGACACCAGCAGGTGAGGACAGAGTTGAGGGAGTTCAGGAACCAGAACCTTCCACCACTAACATACACACTTATGGAGCAGCTAGATGTTTTTGTCAGTTGGTTGATCAACGGCCTCTGGTAAACCCTGTGGATACTGAAGACTGTCAGATGACTTAAAGTTAAATACATGCAAAAAAAAAGTGTGTTTTTTTTTTGACTTAAAGTTAAATACATGCAAAAAAAGCGTGTTTTTTTGGGGGGAAAAACTTAAATACAACCAGATTCAGTTAAAGGTGCTGACAAAGCAGGAAGAACAAAAACTCTGTTCAGTTTTATTCTCTACCAAAACAGCTTCTAAAATGGTAAGCTCTGTTTGAATATCATAAACGTGTAAACATTTCCATATAACGTGCCTCGCAGGGGTTTGTCTGAATTATTATTATTATTATTTTTGACTTGCAAAGAAAACTGTGAAAGCTGGAACCTACGCTGCACACACTGCCTGGTATTATCCAGTGAAACCCTGCATCTCCAAAAGTACCACGACAATAAGAGAGACTTAATAAACGATTCAGTTCTAAAGTGCTTTAAAACATTCCAAGTGTTTTTTTTTAATGTTTATTGTTTTCCAAAAATGTTCAAATATCTCACGATGGTTGAATGTTTCTTCCAAACCTTTGTGACTCGATGTGACCAGCAGCTAGTACCGCACGCCGTCGCAGTTACACGTGTGACGTGCGCGAGGGTACGAAAAACAAAAATCCTGTTTATGTCTATGCAGCGACTCAGAGTGCCTTCTGACCTCTGAACCCAGGACCAAGGAAACTTTGTCATTTCTGTCAACAAACCAATATTTGTCAATGTATCAATTGTAAAGTAAACATTTCCTCATATGTAAATCTATATAAGAATAAAGTATATAAAAATCTGAATATGTAAATAATAAAAAAAACGTTTTATTACTTTGTTCCATAGTCTCCTCTGAAAAGGTATAATTTACTACATCATTTTTCATGTGAGTCATATCATTTTACCTCTGACCTGTAGGTGGTGTTTCTGTCAAAGTTTCATCTCTGTTTACATTAGAAAAATCCCAAGGTGCACCACCAGACAATAATATGGAATGAAATATAATGATCTTCTAGATCCAGTTAGCCTAGTAGTTAGTTGAACACAACGCTGATGTACTCACAGGAATTGAAGAAAGACACACATGGAGATCGTCTTCAACAGCTCTGAAAACAGACACATTATTTGCAGTAAATAATTATGTTTTCAGACCAATTAAATGAAGATAGATAATTTGCATAAACACAATCATAATGAGCAATGAAAAAAAAACAAGGAGTAGAAAGAAACATTTTGAGGACAGGGGCATTCATCATCTGGAACTACAGGATTAATTACCTTTCTGTACAGACTTTCATGGTGAAAATGTTCCCTGAGATTCGGGCCATCATCTGGAACTACAGGATTAATTACTTTAATTACTTTTGCCACTCTGTACAGACTTTCATGGTGAAAATGACTACACTTACAGACTACAGTAACAGTAAGTTCTGTAGAAGCTACAGTTTCACCAGTAATCTTAAAAAGTCCTTTGTACTAAACCTTCAGACTGGGCCTTTAATCCTTCGGACTGAGATTAAAATACCTTAAAAGACCTTCGAACACTTCTAAAGACAATGAATGAAACTTTAGTTTCCAGCTCTCAGATTGCCAATCCCAGTCTGAAGTACAAAGATCTGTCGTATTTGTACAAAGTATCACCTGGTTCAGTGTGTAGAACACGACGACTATAATCCAGGTTTCTGTCTGTGCATTTTATAAATCTGCGGTTTTGTTGACCATCGTTGAGTTCATGGGCCACACGGTGGAACAGTGCTTAGTGCCGCAGCCTTACAGCAAAAAACAAATACTGGTTCAGTACGGAGATCTCCTGTGATCCCAGCGAGTGTGTGTGTGTGTGTGTGTGAGGATCAGGTCAGCTGTTCACGCTACACTGACCCCACCGTGGGTCCATGAACACCGGGATTGGATTGAGTTTGACTGTAAAAAGACGAGCGGATAAATGTCCCACAGATCGATAACCGTCTGTGTGATCGTCTTCTTCTGGCTCCTGAACAAACATTCCTTCGTGTAAATGTCGTCCAGAGCTTGAAGCCAACGAGACTCCGCCCATGCTGCTGCTCTGACAGCTGTTAAAAGGAAACATGTGATGTTCACATTCAGTCATCCACAGCTGGGACTGCAGGAGTCCGCCAACCGATCAGGGGTCAGGAAATGACATGAGGAGACCAAGACAGAAGGAAGACGAGATACTGTCAAACTCAACGACCACTGTATTTGTACAGGTACAGAAGTCAGGACTCAAACCAGCAACCTCCAGACAACTCCCAGTGAATGAATAAAACTCCTCTCCTCATGTCCTTCTGATTTCCTTTCCTTTTTTTACCATTTTTTAAGAGGCTGGTGTTGGGTGTCATTTTTATGAACAGATTTTAAAGTTCAATAAATCAAAGTGTATTTTATAAATTTGAGCAATTTTAAAAATATAAATGACCTTTCTGGGAATGTTTATTTTCCTGTTTTTCCTCCTCTCTCTGTTCAGGTTTACAGCTCTTACAGTTTCGCCTTGTGTCACCACCCCCGCCTGCACATTGTTTCTGCCATAGAACATGTATAAAAAGTGGAGAGAGCTGCCCATGTTGCAGGCAAAGCCAGTGGAGAGAGCTGCCCATGTTGCAGGCTACCAAAGCTGGAGTCAAACTCCTTGTATGTGTTCAAACTTGGTCAATAAAACTGATTCTGATTCTGAGGTGTTTTTGTATTCTTTACGTTCATCCGTCGACCTCTCACACAGACTGGGATTGTCAGGAAAAGAAGAAAAAAAAACCCACATCTTCGTCCACAAGGTTGTGACTTGGTGTCAGAGATGATCACAGTCCTCTGATGAAGAAGAGAACAGAGCGAAACATGGAGAGAAAAAGTCGATTAACCAACGACAGTCGGTTCCACAGCGTAGTGGTTAGCGGTTTAGTCCAGTCCTGGTCCTCAACAGTATCAATCAGTCTACAGTCCTGAACAATCCATCTGACTGTTGTGTCAATCAGACTGTCGTAGACCGACTGTCCTGATCTCAGTCAGGGTGCTCTGGCACAAACCGGGGCCGCTGACCAGAGGTTGAAGCTTCAACAAACACATACTGGGGGTTGATGATGGGATTTGATCAACATTTTTGAATATGTTTGACATGGAATTTTTGTATGTACGACCCACGTCATTCTGTCCAAAATTGAACAACAAACCCGTGGTTTATGGGGTGCAGCCCATAGAATGGGTCAGACCCACTGTGTTCAAACCTGCTCGTATCACAGTGAATGTTACCGAAGGTTCAGTTGCAGTGACTGTTTCTCACTGAGACAACATTTCTTGGCAGTTTCTGCTTTTATATTTAAAAAAAAAAGAAAGACATCTGTCACCGCCACATTAAGTACGCAGGGTCAAAGGTCAGCAAAGGAAGACCGTGTTCAGGGGTTAGAAGTTTAATGACTGAACTTGTTTAATTTCTTACCCGGGAGTGCTGACATTTTTGTTGTCCGTGTTTTCTTTGGCGTCGTGGCTTCTGCAGTAAATCAACCTGGAGCTGCTGCGTTTTCTCGCAGCGTTTGGTGACCGTCCAGAATAAACTGTGTGTGAGCGGCTGAATAAATGACTGAATCTGATATTTGGCTGTTAATAACTCACAGCAGCCACTCTGCACGGCTTTCTGGTGCTCCTGTGAGGAGAGAAAACAGCCAGAGCAGGAGAGAAAGTGTGGGAAGAACTGCTGGAGATTTTTTAAGTTGTTCACTGAATGCGTCACGGTGCCTTCAGGTTCACTTTTTTTTCATAATCCTTTGTTCTCATGATTTATTCCTCCTTTATTTATCATTAGTTTCATGTAAGAACTGCTCTGTGGTCTGACCTGTGTTACAGCCCAGTCAGCTCATGACATCACAGACAGGTATGACATCACCAGTCAGCGCTCCCATCTCTGTTGTTGCCAGAAAAGAAGCAAAGTGACAGGGTCGCGTAGCTCTGCACATTCGAGGACGCCTGTGTCATTGGTCGTGGGGTTCCCAACATGCACTGGGGCAGAGGCAGAGGAGGGAGAACCTCGTTCAAGTCAGTTTAGGAACATCCACTGGCATGGAGCCACCAGCTGAAGAATAAACAGAGATAAGAAAGCTCCGCCCCTTTCTCTGGAACATTCCTCTGGTTTCTGCATGAGGCCTGTTTGCTCACATTCCTCCTCCACGCAGCAACACGGCTCTGCTCGGCTCCACTTCACCCTCGAGATGGTTTCACACCAGACCTCTGACCTCTGAGGAGAGAAACCAAAATCACCTGTAGAACACGGAGGAGAGGAGGAGAGAGTCAGAAAGACAGAGAGAGAGAGTCAGAACATTATTGTTGTCATCACATAATCAGTGGGATCAAAGCCAGCTCCACTTTGACTGACCGTCGTTGCCATTGTCCTCATCATTATTATCACGTTGCTAATTAAGTTAATTCATCACCGTCTGTTCCTGGAGCTTCTACGTCGACAAGAAACAAAACTTCAAAAACACAGATCAATAGATAAAACCTCAGGAAGAGCCACTGGGGTCGGATCCCTCCGCCTGATCTGACAGTTCTGTGAACTGATTCATTCAGACAGAGTCCACATTTAATTATAAGATGTAACAGAAGTTGTCGATATCGTCAGGTGCACCATGGGAAATGATCCAAGTTGTCTTTATTGGTCTGAAAACTATTATTTATTTACTACGAAACATTTAACAAATAAAACAAATAAAAACTGATCTTCATGTTTGTCTTTCTTCAATTCCTGAGTACCTCAGTGCTGTGTTCAACTAAACAGGACCAGGATTCACACGCACATTAAAAAGTGAGTAAACCGAAACTAGCAGCTCATTGTATTTTATTACTTGTACTTTTTGGGACATGATTGTTTGGTGGTGCACCATGGGACTTTTCTAATGTAAAATACGATCACCATCATCACATGGCTGTCATCTTTATTTACTATTATTATTTCTCTCATCAGTAAAGTGTCACTCATTCATTTCTCATTTAGAGGATAAAACTGTACGTGTTAGAACGAGTGTATTTATGTGTGTGTGTGTGTGTGTGTGTGTGTGATTGATGGTATTGTTTCAGTTCTTGGCAGAGAAACTCTTTAGAAAAACAGGAGGAGGTTGGGGGGGCAACGAGAAGAATTAGAAAACAAAACTGAGCTTGTCCTCACCCTCCTCACCCCCCACCACACCACAGCTATCTGACCCCCCCCTCCCCCTCAATCCCTTCGACCCCAATGCAGTGTAGGCACAGGGAAAATAAAAAGCGCAGCAGGAAGGTACCAACACACAAACAGGGCTCCCGTGTTTTGGTCCGATGCTAACCACAGCTTTGCTGTTTCTGCTGGAGCCACGGGGAATGTTCTGAGAAAACACAGCACCGCAGGGCCACGTCGGTGGTCCGCTGCAGAGACTGCGCACGCTGCAAAAACGTCCACCAGTTCGGTCGCTGACGGGACCCCCAGGATGCCCATGGCTGTGGTGGCCACGAGGGGCAGCGGACCTCCGACCAGGCCAAAGTCCTCGATGGTCTTGTACTATAGTCATGTTTTCACATATGACCAGCGTTCAACAGTCACGGTGTCCAACTGACTGTTCTACAGACACTAGACCCTCCAACAGAAAACTCTGACTTTTGAACAGATTCGAGATTTCTTTTTTAAATCATCATCATCATGACCTTCATCACCTTAAGGTTTCCTACTGTCATCAACACCATCACCATCATCGTTCCTTTATCCTCACTTTAATCATTATGATTACCATCAATCATCATCGTTGACTGACATCCATCATCATTGTTGTGATTGTTGTCATCATCACATTCATTATCATTGATCATCAGTGTCAATCATCCATAGACATTTCCTCATTTTTCTTATCATTATCTTCATCACTTTGGTTGTAATTATTTTTGTCTTTATCGTTAACATCGTCATCATTATCATCACAGTCATCAACAACAACAACAAAATCACCCATGCCCCCCCGTCCCACAATCTCAATAATTTAGTAATAATTATCTACATCATCTTTTTAATTATGGTCATCCTCACACCGACACCACCACCATCTTCATCGTCATCGTTATCATCAAACATCTCATTAGCACAGTTCCTGTCTTTATAATCCAACCATCAAGCCCTTTTTTTTCACCTCATCGTCTTCATAATTCAGCTAACTCTGCTGCTCACATCACTCATCCAGACTTAATCCTCTCCCTTCAGTGTCAGGGTTAGAGCAGATTTAGACTCAGACAGGTAATGAGGGGAGTAGGTCTCACACACACACACACACTGACACACACACACACTGACACACAGTCTCTGCTTGTTGACATTCTTAAGGTAAAGATGTGCTGTGATTGGCCGGTCGCACGAGTGGGTGCACACACATGGTTCAGTCACAAAAACCCGTACCCGTCACATTTTGTCCCTCTAAAATGGATGAAGGATGTGTGTCTGTGTGTGTGTCCAAGAAGGTCAAAGGTCAACAGGAATGTGAACCACCCTGTTAGACCAATCACTTCCTTTTGGCTACAGCCAATTAGGCGACAAAACACACTGTCACATTGGTTTAGTGCCGCAGTGACAGAAACACACAGGCTGCACCTGCCTGCAGGGCAGAGGTTCAAGGTCAAAGGTCGGCGTGTTCTGAGGGTGGTTTCCATCCAGACTGTATTTAGAATGTCGTGAAGACGTTATTAATCAGGGTCAGGATGAGGATGAGTCATATATTTATATGAGGTTAAGTAATGTATCGTATGTATGTGAAGTTCTCTCAACTCATAAAAACCTGACTGTGTGTGTGTGCGTGTGTGTGTGTGTGTGTGGGAACAGCGGGAGGAGAAGCAGCTGTTTTTGGACGGACCTCGTCTCGTGATGCTCAGATGCATGGACTCAATCCAACAGTGAAGAGCAGGAAGTTTACCAGAGGCTGAAGCTCAGATGAGGACAAGCTGGACGTCCACCGCGTCTGCTGTTCACAAAAGGATTTTTATCCCTCCGTCCGTCCGTCCGTCTCCCTGTGTCACTGTTGGGAGTTTAAAAACTGCTGAGGTGTGTCTGAGCCTGGACCAACCAAGAATTAGACTTTGTAATTTGAAGGACTCACAGGGGCCAGAATGTCTCCCGTCCCCTCGCCCCAGTGGAGTCATCTCCCAGAGTCTCCGTCTTCAGCGCGGCTGCGGCAGATCATTGGCATCAACATGAGCTCAGTATTGTTCTCAGTGTTTACTCTGAGACCGAAAAAAAAGCTAAAAATAGTTTAAACTGAAACGAGACGCCGAGTTTGATTTGGACCGGGTTTCTGTCTCTCTGGACATCTCTGGACTGTCGCACGCCCACGTCCTCTGTGTGTGTGTGTGTGTGCTTGTATGTGTGTTTGGCTGTGAATGCGGCGTGAGAGACAGTGAAGGCATCATGGTGGACATTAAAGCAGCGTGTGTTCGACAGTGACTGTCAAGTGAATGCATCGTGATGATCACTCAGCATCCTGTGAGTGACAGTGAATATATTCACTGTCACTCACAGGATGCTTCCTGTGAGTGACAGTGAATGCAGCACAGTTGAGTCTGATTGTAGTGTTGGTGACA